TTGTGTCTTATAATTCAAATATATTATATGTTAACTTGTATTTTCTATAAATAGGTAAAAATGCCACCCAAAGATAATAAGGGTAAAGGTCCTAGTGATAGTGGTAGGAAGCCCAAGCGTCCAAGGGTAGTAGTATGTCAGTCACCTCACTCAGCCACGTGTCCTCCCCCGCAGAGTCAGGTTCATCATATATCCATGGACAATACTATGCCATTTACGCCATTACTATCATCTCAGAGTCCTCTTCAGTTCCCATCTGGGAGTACATGTTTTATTAGTCCATCTGGGGCCCCACCTGGTTTACCATTCCAGCAGACACAGATGCCCTCATCCTTGCAGCATAATTTTCCATTTCCCACACAGATGCCCTCATTCGTGCAGTAGCCTGGAGGATCCAGCACCCCACTTCCTACACAGATGCCCCCATCCGTCCAGCAGCCTGGAGGATTCACCTCTTCACGACCCACATAGACTGGTCGTACCCCACATTCCACACATGTACCTGCATCCGATGATCATGCAGAGTCGGATGATGAAGATCTTGGTATGGATAATGATCAGATAGATGGGAGAGATCTTCGAGGGGATGATGGTCCGAGTGAGATTCATACCATTGATGGGAGATTTTGGATTTGGCCTGAAGGGAACTTGTAAGTTTCTTATTTATTGATTTTTATTTATAAGTACATATTTCCATTTTTAATATAACTTTATATAATTAATTATGCTAATTTAATTATTGTTGTTTTAGTTTCAGGCCGAGCCGGACTGCTACTAAGGTTATAAATTATATAATTCAGCATAATTAAACAAATTTTTTGAAGAGTTTTAGAGAAGTTTCCGATAAAGAAGAATGGTTTAAGCAATTTCAGGTATAATTAATTTATTTCTTAAGTTATTTTTATTTAAATGACCTTTTCATTATTGTTATAATTTATCTAACTATTTATTTTAATGTCATACAACATTGCAGGCGAAATGTGTTTGGGATCCCCTGAATCATAACAAAGTAAAAAAAAAATATTTTGGCAGGAGTTCAAGACGACTTTCTGACATGCTACGACGTGTTAGAGAGAATTGGCAACTTTGGGCATTCGTCCCAAATGGATAGGCAAAGAAGTTTTTGAACAACTTCTTAAGTATTGGGAATCAGATGAATTTAAGGCTAAATCTGAAACTGCAAAGAAGATGAGGGCATCGGAAAAAGGGGGTTGCCTTAATGTTGTTGGAAGTATTAGTACTGCTGAGCATGCTCGACGCATGATAATTATTACCACTTTTTAAAGTCATATTTGGATTTATAACATATTATTAATTTAAGTTAATTTTTTTATTTAGGCTAAGCGTTTGGGGAGACAACCATTGATGACTGAGCTGGTTAAGGAAACTCGGACAAAGAAATCGGGAGGATTTATTGACGAGCGTACAAAAAAAGCCCTGGTAAGTAAATTTATGTTTATATATTTTTTAGGCAATTTTGTGACGTGATTTTCACGTAGCAAGTGACATGTTGTGGCGTGAAAATTGAGTGGCAACTGATAAGTTGTGGCGTTACAATCACGTGGCTATTTGTTTTTTATTATTTTTTTTATTTCATTTAATTTCATTAATTTTACTTATAAGTTTAACTTGATTTTTTTATTGTATGTGTAGGAGGATTATCAGGCCTTGCTTGTAGAATTTCTGACCCATAATCCTCAGTATACTCCTCCTCCGGGAAAACCGGTTCATCCAGATGTGGATTTCTATATTTGGAGTCAAGTTGTTGGGGGAAAGGGGCCTAACGGGTGTTTTTTTGGTGGTGGAAATTTGGCGGGCACCTTGAGGAGTGGGGATAGAAATCTGTATCAGAGAGCTGCGGACGGTGAAGGAGGGTCACGTCAAACAAATTTGACACCAGATCAGTTAGAACTGGTAAGACAATTGGCTAGACGCGAGTCCGGAGATCGTGAGGCGGCATTGAAGGCCCAAATGGAGGAAATGAGGGGTAAACATAATAGACAAATGGAGGCAATGGTAAAGAGGCAGGCTGATATGGAGGAGCAAATGCGACAATTTATGCAAGCATTTGGTAGAAATCCCAACAGTGGTGACCAAAATAATAACCACCAAAATAATGATGACTTTCTTCGCGACTTTTCCGACGACTCGAATGATTCTGCTTAGTTTTATTTTTATTTTGTATTTAGTTTTTTATTTGTGTAATATAAATTTATAATCATATTGTATATTTAAAAATATTATAAATTTAAATTTGAGTTTATTAAATTTATAATATTAAGTATATTAATTTATACATTTAGATATATTTAGTTTAATTTTTGATAATTTGATTTATAATATTGTATTTAATAAATAAATTATAATATTTAATTTATAAATTTAATAAAACAAAAAATAATATTAATTATTATAACAAAATTAATATATTTAAAACACAAAATATATATATTTTTTTAAAAAAATAAGTTGCGGCGTGTTTTTCATGTCACTAATTAGTGACGTGAAAAACACGCCGCAACAGCAAACGTAAAAATAAATATAAATCTGCTCTGACCCTCTGCTCTGACCCTCTGCTCTGAATTGCTTTGATCCTATAAAGTCTGTTGCAGCGTGAATTTCACGTGACAACATTGTGACATGCTTTTCACGCCGCAACAAAATTGCCACGCGCTCTACAGCGACGTGTTTCTTAAGGTGGCAAAAATGGAATAGTAGCGTGATTTGGGTGTTAGCGACGTGACTTTCACGTGGCAAAACACAAGTTATTTTGTAGTGTTTGTACTTTGTGACAACGTCAAGGAATCCGCGATGTAATACCCCAAATTTGTCCTACCCTTCTACTTTTATCTGGTTTACGCATTATCGCACTTTTCTCATGTACATAACTCCATTAGGTCATTTAACATTACATACATTCGCTAACAACATAACTTGGCATGGGATCAAAGATTTTGAGGTGTATGGTTTCTCTTTGGCTTTAAGAGTCTCACTTTTATTCAAGGCTGATTCATGTTATTTACTTAACAATCTTTGGCTTATGGAGCTAGGGTTTTTGTGTGCATGATTCATCGAGAATTTCTTGCATCGGGATATTATAAGACATCCACCTTTAAGGTCCCTTCAAAAGCATCAAGTGTTTACTACCTTCTCAATGACTCGGATTTAAATGAGAATGCTTTGAATTAAGGTTTTTGTACTTATCTTCATCGTTGCAAGGGTTAGATTCCTGATAGGAGTCTATGAGTTTGAGGATGCTTGGGTGACACTTTGGTTGCTCGGGATACAAGATACAAGATATGGTTTGTGGATTCAAAACATCATCACTCTGTTAGATATCAGTTACTTATCATGCAAGTTAAGTCTGGCTCGAATTTGGAAAGTTAAAATTAGAGGTTCATTGAGAATGCAAGATAACTTGGATTTGAAGTCGATTCAAGTGGTTCCATTATGAAAATTTGGTAAGCATTCAATCATAAGGATGTTTTTTGAAAGCAAGATGCAAAATATAAGGGCTAAGACATAAAGGCATTCGCACAAAGTTCGACATTGTTCAAACTCTTCATCCGTAAATTCATCATCCTTTATCCAAGTTTATCCAAACTAAATCATTTCCAAATCCATCATTCATCATTATCATTCAACAAAAGCTTGTTCAAATTTCTCATTATTCATTCGGACATTAAAGAATAATAAACATGGATTTCTGAGTGATGGAAATAAAGTATGGATCTTTTTGTCATGGCAAGCTTCAAACTTGAAGTTCCGTTCGAAATGTTATTCAAGTATCGATAAAATCTTATCCAAATTCATTCAAAGTCCAATTAGAGTCTGAAGCATTTCATTCTAATAAATCATCATATGCCAAGGTCATTCATGATCCAAAAACATTACAAATATACAAATTGAAAGCATGTTAGACATTACAAGTTCAGTTCTAAGCTTATGCTAAACCTAAGCTAAGCCTTATTATTGCTACGATCTTCGAAACTTCGTGTTGATGCCCTCAATAATTGTTGCCTTTCTCCCCATATCTTAACTCTATCAAACTTGGCTTTTCATCCTCGCACCATCGAATTCCAAACCTGCAATCAAGAAATGGCTCCAAAACAGCCTGCACAATCCAGAGAGGACACCCTGTTCAAGAAAAATTAGCAGAATGAAACCAACTGTCAAACAGAATAAAACTCTATAACTGCTAGCCAAAACAGAATTTTATAAATTCCCTAAACCATTTTCTAAAGCAGCCCTGCACATAAAACTCTAACAGCTAACTTTTCTAACATCTTTCATAATCTGTAACTGAAAACCTCTCCATAACAAACTTCAACAAAATACTCCAACTGTCATAACAGAAACCAACTCACTCCTAACTGTAACCAACCTATACCCAATTTCCTAACCAACTTCCTATAACAACTTTTCTTAACTTTCTAACAGATTGATAACTAACTATAACCAAACCAACTAACAGACCCAACCAACCTCTAACTGTTTTATAAACTGACTCAACAAACTCTAACAGAATGATAACTGAATTGGAAGGAAGAGGATTGATAACAAAAAAATTCACAAAAAAGAGGACTCACCTTTTCAACTCTGGCGGTACCCTCTCTCCCTCGGATCCATCTTCATCTTCAGCCTTCACCTTCCTTTGATCCTCCATCATCAATACTTCATCAAAATTGCAAACAACCATCATCTGCGTTCATCTTCAACATACACTCATTCTTTCGTCTTTGGCAATCTTCATCATCAACAGCACTCGTTCTGTCAAAATTCAACAACTTCATTACTCCTTCAACAAGAACTACACTGAGTTTATTTATGAGTTGTGATTTGCTTGGTTCACACAACAAGAAGGGCAAAAGAAGAGCAAACAGAATTGAAGACAAAGAAAAATAAAGAAGAATGAATAGAAAAGAATGCAAGTACCTTCCGGTTCATCATCTTTGTCTCATCGAAACTGGATTGGAATTGAGACGAAGTATGAGTTACAATCAAACGGAAATCACGAAGGAGAGCAAACTGAAGCTGACAACGGCGACGAATTGGTACAGAATCATAAAGCTTGAATTCAGGGACGAAGATGGAGAGTTAATCCGCAGCGATGAAGCTTGAAACGGAGTTTGACGAGGAAAGTTGAAGATGCGATGGAGATCGATGAGGGCTTTTTGGTTTACAGTGGCATCTGAATCGAACAACAAAGAAGAGGTGAGAACGCCCAGAGGTTGGTGTAGCAAACTATTAACGGAATCGGAGCCGGCAACGGAGGGAGTTGAATGGATGGATGTCGTATGGAAAGGAGAAGCCGCGTCGCGAGAGAGGAAGAGAAGCGAGGAGGAAATGCCACACATTCTGTAACCTAATTCCTCTTAAAAATTTATTTTTTTATTTTATTTATTATTATTTTTTTGTTATTCCTTTTATTATTTGCTGGAAGCTTGATGGTAAAAAAACAAAAAAAATACTTCTAATGGGCTTCATTGGGAACGGGCCAGCGCCCAATTTACTAAGCCACACTCCCTGGACTCAAATCATCACCCCCTGAGTTTATTAGTTCTTCATTAGATTTAGGATTCCCTTTTTTTCCTTTTTTATTTGTTTCACTTTTTGTTAATTTTTGTCAATATAATACATGATAAAAAACTCAAAATATTAGAATAGAATCTTAATTTTTTTACTAATTTGGTTTGTCGTTGTCTTAGCCATGTTTTAGTATATTTTAACATCAATTTTGTGTGAAACTTTGAAATAAAAAAAGGGACTTGAGCTTGAGAAATTTCGAAGCTAAGTAAGAACACGATCTCCATCAAAGGAAATTCGAGGAAGCACTCGATAGAGTTTTCTTATCGCTTGTGTGGCTTTGAAGAGGAAACGGACCTCCTCCGTTCGGTATCACTGCAACTCTATTTTATTCTTCATTTTCGCACTTTATCGCGTTTCTTTATTACTTTTCTAAAAATCATGAGAAGCAAAGCTTTACCGTAATCCATGTACATGCTAACATTAGGTAGAATTCCATCATTCATCCTTGACTTTAGGTCTAACAACGCACAATAACATCAGGTTTAGAAATAGGCTAATTCCCCTTTAACTCCTTTTCTGCATACGCACCTAAAACTAAAACTTCTTTTCTTTCAAAATTCAAAACACTTTAAAACTATTGATGAGAATCATGCTTTTGCTTAGTACGGGAAATGATAAGCGGGTCTCTTCTCGATCTTATTGTTCTTCATCTCAAGCATAGGTGTGGTTCAATTCTCAAAGACTCCTTTCATGACTAAGTAGAAAAATGGCTAATATCTCTCTCTTGAGGTCGACTAGTCATTATCTGCAACGAAAATACAAAACAAATTCAAACCATTTTGTGCGCTCGAGCACTTTTTAAAAAAAACCCTTTTCAGGTAAGGACACGATTAATTTACTTCTGTGCCAACGCATAAGTCTCCAAAGGTCGAGCTGCGGCAGAAGGCGGAATTAACTTCGTCCATAAAAAACACAAACAAACAAAAACATATGAGCTGAACTACGGTAGCTCTGATTCCTCAAAAAGGATACGTAGGCATTAGGGTAGGGCCCAGGCGAGCACAATTTTATTTTCCCTACATTCTTCTCTCCTTTCTTTTGCATGCATTATTCCTTAGCAGTAATAAACAGTAAGCATAGATTAAACACACCCATAAGATAGATAACAAGAGTGGATACCGTAGAGTACTACGGGCGTGTGGGGTGCTAATACCTTCCCCCCGCGTAACAGACTCCCTTACCCGATCTCTCGGTCGCAAGACCGTGACTTCTCCCTCATCAGGTTTTCTCGATGTTTACCTTTCCCTACATAGGGGATAAAAGACGTTCGATGGCAACTTCATTGTTTGATGATTTTCAGCCGGTTGTTTCAGCTGGCGACTTCACTGGGGACCGGTCGACCAAATGCTGGTCCATCCCGGAGTCGCTCCTAGCTCTTGTTTTCTCTCCTTAGGGTGTTTATTTTTATGCTTTCAGTTTACTCATTTGTACATGTTTATCTGAGCATAAGTTTGCATTGCATTTTATGGCTTTCCATATTTGTTATCTATTATGCTGGACTCTGTTCTCTATGTTGGGTGGGGATGCTACTATTGAGGTAAAAGGCCCAGTACCCAGGCCAGAGTGCACTAGGACACCTAGGAATAGAGTGGGGCATGACGGCTATAGGACGTGGTCCGATTAGTGCAGTCATGCCATATACCATGCTCGGATGAGGTTCAAATGAATTACTATCGGCACCCACGTCTGTGGGTAAGCCCATAGCACTTTCAGGCGGACCCGTGATTTTCGAGTTACCATTGTCTTACCCTGACCTAGTTTTCACCCGTGAGTGGGAAGGGAATTTTTGTCACAGGTACAAATGGTGACTATGTTAAGATGGTTACTCATGCTCGGATGGTAACTATGCTCAGACAGTGGATATTGGTTCTAATGGCTATATTCTGGATTTCTGTTATGACTTTATGCAGATGCTATACTCTGTTGGTGACCGTATGGTTCTCAGATTTATTTTTTGAGTTTCTGACTTGTTTACCTGGAGATTCATTCGGGCCTTCGATTTTGGTATTCCCAGCATATTCAGAAAATGCTCAACAGTATCCTATGTTCCAGAAGTCTCGACCCCGTAAAATGGGAGATCCACATGGTACTTGGTTCTTACATGTGCAGAAGCTATGTCAGACCTTTTTGATCTGATAACACTCACATGATTCAGAGCAGTGCAACAATCTTATTCAGGAATGATGGAACCCTGATCCTCTTTGATCTCATGCCTTTGCATATATAACATGGCTAACCATATGCTTAACATACATGTTCTATTATTTCCAAGGAATCACATTTGCAAGTCTTGTGCTAAACTCTTCCATCCCTTAGTTGCGCAAAATCAAAATCAAAGCACGCAAATTCCTTGGAAATGACAGAACATGACATGGCATTCATTCATACACCCCATGCATATTCATGCATTCATGACAGGTACCCGAAGATTGGGGATTCTTATTCAGACCTGGGGTTCTCTTCAAAGGTTCAACCTGATTTCTCTCCACACATGCTCAGAGATCATTTATGGAATAACTCTGAGTGGTACATGCAAGCTTTGGCTCATAGTCAGAAACTTCTTCAAGCAGGAAGATAATGGATTAAATACTCAGATAAGCCAGGTCATGGAAACTCTGATGATGATGTCTATTATTTCTTTAATACATGATATGCTTGGTAATGCATATTATACTGGGGCACCTGGCCAATCGATTGAAGAAGGTATGTCATCCAGAGACCAAGTCCAAGACTGGATCAATTCAGAGAATGTTGTGTTCACATCAAATCTGAAAGGGGATTCTCTCGCACACTCGAGCTTCAAGACTACAGAAAGTCGTCAGAATCAGCAAGTCCATACAGAGTCAAGTCTCCTCAACAATGGCAATCATTGGTTTCTTTTACTGCATTTTCATTTGCATTCTTGCTTGTTTGTTTAAACATTGCTTGTACATAGAAACTTGTCTATTTTTGAACGAAAATTTTAATGCAATAAGTATGCTTGTCTTGAAGTATTCCTTTCATTTTTACTCATCCATTCGTTATCACTCTTTAAATGTTTTACTTGCATATTGATGCCAGATTTCCAAGTCTTATGCTTAGGTAAAGATTCAAAGGAGGATGACGACAATCTGAAAACGCGAAATCTCTGGTTGGTACGCTTTTGAGTAAGACCCTGCTGACGATGTACATGCCTTGTTTCAATTCCTAAACACCGGAGATATAAGGGAGATAGACCCTCGTTAACCCCTATGAGCCTTCGAAGTAGGAGTTTCTTTTCTGTTCAGAAAAAACCCTCGTTTCAACCCTGGTGCGAGTAGTGTGCAACTAATCTGATTAAGCATTCAGAACTCATCAAGAGTGTGCATCCAAGGATACAACAATGGTTATCCATCAAAAGGTTGAGGGAAGTCAAAACCACAATGGTTAACCTTCATCTATCAGCAACGTGCATCAATTAACAATATCCCAATGGATATCTCTCGCACATCAGGAGGTCGACAGATGACAATACAACAATGACTATCCCTTGTCTATCAAAGACTCAGGCAGTTACGATCACTTCCAACAAATCAAAAACAACGCAAAGATCAACGACTTGTTCAAAATGAAAAATATTAATAAGAAAGAAACAAAAATCCCCGCTAAGTCAAAACTTGAAAACAAGTCGCTTAGGCAAAAAAATTGGGGCATCCCGCTGGACTTCCAAATCGAAATTCAAAAGAATTTGTCCAAGCAAAAATTAGGGAAAGCAAGAAGAAATTGAAAAGCCTAAAAGAAGAGAAAAGGATTACCAACAAAAATCCTCATCAAAGAACAAAGTCGTCTGATCAGACACCAAAGGCAAAGAAGTTAGTGATTGTCGTGTCCAAGAAACCACTGTGGTTCCTCAATTATTGCAAACTCTTCTCGAGAGATGAACGCTTATATCAGGTCAAATGAACGTAGGAATGGAGAACATCATGGAGAATGGGTGGGCACCAAATAATTTTAAGCCTTAAATCCTTTTTTCTAAAAACCGTGAACCAGGCCACGTTACAACCCATAAAAGTCCTAATTGAAGCATGGGTCAATTCGAAAGCTTGCTACAACGAGATAACGTTTAACTGACTCCTAAGAGGTATGTTCGAATATCTGTGTTGGCATCATATGCTTGCATTATCTTTCATAAAAAGGAATTTGCAAATGTTTCTCTCTAGCTAGTGACTCGTTCACAACAGAGTTGTGACGTTATTTCATTCAAAGTTTTTTCCAAACTTCAAGACTTACATATGTGTTGTATTAGAATTATCATTCTCATAATAAACATTCTTCTGCATACAAAACAACTGATCGACATCAAGTAAGTTTGCACAATGAACAATCGGTGAAGAGCTCAATCTTGTCAGAAAAGAGAGGCTTGAATACCCTGTTGAAGCAAGAGTCAGCTGCTACAAGAGAAATGACTAATCCAGAGGCATGTTAAACCACAGATTCTGTCAAGAGAAATCATCTTGGTGCTTCACATCTTGAGTACCCTTTAGGGATAAAGCTAGCAGATTCCATCAATCTGGGGAATTCCCTTAAAACTGCCAATCTGGGGCAATCAAGTCGAGAATCGATCTCTCCAAATTCAGCCAAATCTAGGGCTTTCCCTCAGAGCTCGATCAATCAGAGCCTATCACGTCGATAAATATCTTCAAGATCAATTAGAGGCTATCACGTCGAGAGATCTATTCAGAATTCATTCAACCTGGGGCAGTTACGTCGAGATTCGACAAATCTCTCCAAGAAAGCTGTAATCAAGAGCAGTTTATTTCGTGACTCAAGACATTGGGGCAGGCCACCTCATATCGTATTGTGGCACGAATCTTCTGGTCTTCTATTCAACCTAGATCTTCCCAGAGATCCTTCAGACAGGGGCATTCCTCATCCGTACTTAGTTGCTCAAGTCAATTATGTTGCACAAGACTATGATCAAGCTAAAAGCATCATAACAGTCACCCTGACTTAGCCAGCACATGAAGCTGCCTTCATCTGCTACAGACAATTTCAAACCTGGATTCCCCAAGTGAATTCAGAAAATCTAGAATCGTCTTTTAACTCAGCACGCGCAAATGCATCCTCAGTGGAGTTAATCAAGAACATCCCCAATTGAGCTAAACCGGGGCATTCGCAGAGCTAAACCGGGGCATTTGAAGAACTAAACTGGGGCATTCGCAGAGTTCAACCGGGGCACTCATAGGTATCCATGCCCATCTCTTATCCCCAAGTGATTCAAGAGATAATTCCCCAGTGTGCGTAAACTTGGGACATGTATTCAGAGGGATCCATATGGTGTTCAGTATCCATTCTTCGGCATATTCAGTTCTATTATCCTCTCAACGGTTCAGGATGTTTGGGAGTCTGGCCAGGTTATCTCTTCCCAACGGTATGATTCAGAATCCAGCAACGTACCTGAAGACTCGTTTCATCGGCAACTCAATCTCCAATAGAGTCATCAACTATCTTCGGTGTCATGGGCTCTCCAATACAAATTTTTATCGGTATCCCCAACAATCTTTGGTACTGCAGACTTCCAGCGTCGATACGTATTGGCATCCCCAGTAATGAGCATGGTTCCCGACAAGCCTTCTCTTATCCCCATGAAGTTTATTTCTTCGCACTGCATATAGTTATCACTGCATAACATTACATCCTCAAAAGCGCGTAGCCGATCCATCAGAATGGATCTTTGCGGCAAAAGAAATTCAAACATACATACAAAGCATAAGCCAGATCAGGTACCTTACATGAAAGACCTGAATTATTCAAGGACAACAATACATCCCTACAGAAGGATATCATGCCCAAAGTCCCCAGTCGGTGACCTTCACCTTTTCAATGCCAAACAAAATCAATACACTTTGCCATTCTAAACCCAGTTCCTGTCTGGTAGTCGGTTTCCTAAACACTCGTATGTGTCAAGTTTCCTAAACACCCACCCGGGTCGGTTATTCAAACACTCGTCCGTGTTTAACCTTTGATACTCGTCCGTATCTCCTTTTGATACTCGTCCGTATCTCCTTTCAATACTCGTCCGTATTGATTCAAACACTCGTCCGTGTTTAACCTTTGATACTCGTCCGTATCTCCTTTCAATAATCGTCTGTATTGATTCAAACACTCGTCCGTGTTTAACCTTTGATACTCGTCCGTATCTCCTTTCAATACTCGTCTGTATTGATTCAAACACTCGTCCGTGTTTAAACTTTTGATACTCACCTGTATCTTCTTTCAATACTCGTCCGTATTGAATCAAAAACTCGTCCGTGTTTAAACTTTTGATACTCACCTGTATCTTCTTTCAATACTCGTCCGTATTGAATCAAACACTCGTCCGTGTTTAAACTTTTTGATACTCACCTGTATCTTCTTTCAATACTCGTCCGTATTGAATCAAACACTCGTCCGTGTTTAAACTTTTGATACTCGTCCGTATTGATTTAAACACTCGTCCGTGTTTAACCTTTGATACTCGTCCGTGTCTTCTTTCAATAATCATCCGTATTGATTCAAACACTCGTCCGTGTTTAACCTTTCTTGATGCTCGTCCGTGTCGCTTATCTAAACAATCATCATGTCATAACCCATGTTTTCATCGTCGAACCTGAGATCGCCTCTTGGCTAGGTTCTTCCCTCAAATCATCGTCGAACCTGAGATCGCCTCTTGGCTAGGTTCTTCCTTCGAATCATCGTCGAACCTGAGATCGCCTCTTGGCTAGGTTCTTCCTTCAAATCATCGTCGAACCTGAGATTGCCTCTTGGCTAGGTTCTTCCTTCAAATCATCGTCGAACCTGAGATCGCCTCTTGGCTAGGTTCTTCCCTCAAATCATCGTCGAACCTGAGATCGCCTCTTGGCTAGGTTCTTCCTTCAAATCATCGTCGAACCTGAGATCGCCCCTTGGCTAGGTTCTTCCTTCAAATCACCGTCGAACCTGAGATCGCCTCTTGGCTAGGTTCTTCCTTCAAATCATCTTCGAACCTGAGATTGCCTCTTGGCTAGGTTCTTCCCTCAAATCATCGTCGAACCTGATATCGCCCCTTGGCTAGGTTCTTCCTTCAAATCACTGTCGAACCTGAGATTGCCTCTTGGCTAGGTTCTTCCTTCAAATCACCGTAGAACCTGAGATCGCCTCTTGGCTAGGTTCTTCCCTCAAATCATCGTCGAACCTGAGATCGCCTCTTGGTTAGGTTCTTCCTTCAAATCATCGTCGAACCTGAGATCGCCTCTTGGCTAGGTTCTTCCTTCAAATCACCGTCGAACCTGAGATCGCCTCTTGGCTAGGTTCTTCCCTCAAGTCATCGTCGAACCTGAGATCGCCTCTTGGCTAGGTTCCTTCCATATACTTTGTCCTAGAACCTGAGATCGCCCTTTGGCTAGGTTCTCTGTCGAATCACTCTCATGTGTCACCTTAGGATCGCAGGTCTCCCGTAGACCTCGTCCTCTATCTTTTCATACCCACCATTTGTCTTGTATTGGCGTCGCTCCACATTACAAGTTCAATCTCTGTCCCTTCATTGAAAAAACAAATTTCTTTTCCCCAGCAGATATCACAAAAATAAATAAAGAAAACACTCACTCTTCCTCTCAAGACAAATTTTTGGCATTGATATTTAATCATCTTCAACCTTGAACTTCCGAAAGGCATGTGCCAATCGTACTTTCAGGTTTAAGACGATTAAATAGGGGCAGCTGTAATACCCCAAATTTGTCCTACCCTTCTACTTTTATCTGGTTTACGCATTGTCGCACTTTTCTCATGTACATAACTCCATTAGGTCATTTAACATTGCATACATTCGCTAACAACATAACTTGGCATGGGATCAAAGATTTTGAGGTGTATGGTTTCTCTTTGTCTTTAAGAGTCTCACTTTCATTCAAGGCTGATTCATGTTATTTACTTAACAATCTTTGGCTTATGGAGCTAGGGTTTTTGTGTGCATGATTCATCGAGAATTTCTTGCATCGGGATATTATAAGACATCCACCTTTAAGGTCCCTTCAAAAGCATCAAGTGTTTACTACCTTCTCAATGACTCGGATTCAAATGAGAATGCTTTGAATTAAGGTTTTTGTACTTATCTTCATCGTTGCAAGGGTTAGATTCCTGATAGGAGTCTATGAGTTTGAGGATGCTTGGGTGATACTTTGGTTGCTCGGGATACAGGGTACAAGATATGGTTTGTGGATTCAAAACATCATCAATCTGTTAGATATTAGTTACTTATCATGCAAGTTAAGTCTGGCTCGAATTTGGAAAGTTAAAATTAGAGGTTCATTGAGAATGCAAGATAACTTGGATTTGAATTCGATTCAAGTGGTTCCATTATGAAAATTTGGTAAGCATTCAATCATAAGGATGTTTTTTGAAAGCAAGATGCAAAATATAAGGGCTAAGACATAAGGGCATTCGCACAAAGTTCGACATTGTTCAAACTCTTCATCCGTAAATTCATCATCCTTTATCCAAGTTTATCCAAACTAAATCATTTCCAAATCCATCATTCATCATTATCATTCAACAAAAGCTTGTTCAAATTTCTCATTATTCATTCGGACATTAAAGAATAATAAACATGGATTTCTGAGTGATGGAAATAAAGTATGGATCTTTTTGTCATGGCAAGCTTCAAACTTGAAGTTCCGTTCGAAATGTTATTCAAGTATCGATAAAATCTTATCCAAATTCATTCAAAGTCCAATTAGAGTCTGAAGTATTTCATTCTAATAAATCATCATATGCCAAGGTCATTCATGATCCAAAAACATTACAAATATACAAATTGAAAGCATGTTAGACATTACAAGTTCAGTTCTAAGCTTATGCTAAACCTAAGCTAAGCCTTATTATTGCTACGATCTTCGAAACTTCGTGTTGATGCCCTCAATAATTGTTGCCTTTATCCCCATATCTTAACTCTATCAAACTTGGCTTTTCATCCTCGCACCATCGAATTCCAAACCTGCAATCAAGAAATGGCTCCAAAACAGCCTGCACAATCCAGAGAGGACACCCTGTTCAAGAAAAATTAGCAGAATGAAACCAACTGTCAAACAGAATAAAACTCTATAACTGCTAGCCAAAACAGAATTTTATAAATTCCCTAAACCATTTTCTAAAGCAGCCCTGCACATAAAACTCTAACAACCAACTTTTCTAACAGCTTTCATAATCTGTAACTGAAAACCTCTCCATAACAAACTTCAACAAAATACTCCAACTGTCATAACAGAAACCAACTCACTCCTAACTGTAACCAACCTATACCCAATTTCTTAACCAACTTCCTATAACAACTTTTCTTAACTTTCTAACAGATTGATAACTAACTATAACCAAACCAACTAACAGACCCAACCAACCTCTAACTGTTTTATAAACTGACTCAACAAACTCTAACAGAATGATAACTGAATTGGAAGGAAGAGGATTGATAACAAAAAAATTCACAAAATAGAGGACTCACCTTTTCAACTCTGGCGGTACCCTCTCTCCCTCGGATCCATCTTCATCTTCAGCCTTCACCTTCCTTTGATCCTCCATCATCAATACTTCATCAAAATTGCAAACAACCATCATCTGTGTTCATCTTCAACATACACTCATTCTTTCGTCTTTGGCAATCTTCATCATCAACAACACTCGTTCTGTCAAAATTCAACAACTTCATTACTCCTTCAACAAGAACAACACTGAGTTTATTTATGAGTTGTGATTTGCTTGGTTCGCACAGCAAGAAGGGCAAAAGAAGAGCAAACAAAATTGAAGACAAAGAAAAATAAAGAAGAATGAATAGAAAAGAATGCAAGTACCTTCCGGTTCATCATCTTTGTCTCATCGAAACTGGATTGGAATTGAGACAAAGTATGAGTCACAATCAAACGGAAATCGCGAAGGAGAGCAAACTGAAGCTGACAACGGCGACGAATTGGTACAGAAACATAAAGCTTGAATTCAGGGACGGAGATGGAGAGTTAATCCGCAGCGATGAAGCTTGAAACGGAGTTTGACGAGGAAAGTTGCGATGGAGATCAGTGAGGGCTTTTTGGTTTACAGTGGCATCTTAATCGAACAACAAAGAAGAGGTGAGAACACCCAGAGGTTGGTGTAGCAAACGATTAACGGAATCGGAGCCGGCGGCGGAGGGAGTTGAATGGATGGATGTCGTCATGAAAGGAGAAGCCGCGTCGCGAGAGAGGAAGATAAGCGAGGAGGAAATGTCACACATTCTGTAACCTAATTCCTCTTAAAATTTTATTTTATTTTATTTTATTTATTATTATTATTATTATTTTTTGTTATTCCTTTTATTATTTGCTGGAAGCTTGATGGTAAAAAAACAAAAAAAATACTTCTAATGGGCTTCATTGGGAACGAGCCAGCGCCCAATTTACTAAGCCACACTCCCTGGACTCAAATCATCACCCCCTGAGTTTATTAGTTCTTCATTAGGTTTAAGATTCCCTTTTTTTCCTTTTTTATTTGTTTCACTTTTTGTTAATTTTTTTCAATATAATACATGATAAAAAACTCAAAATATTAGAATAGAATCTTAATTTTTTTACTAATTTGGTTTGTCGTTGTCTTAGCCATGTTTTAGTATATTTTAACATCAATTTTGTGTGAAACTTTGAAATAAAAAAAGGGACTTGGGCTTGAGAAATTTCGAAGCTAAGTAAGAACACGATCTCCATCAAAGGAAATTCGAGGAAGCACTCGATAGAGTTTTCTTATCACTTGTGTGGCTTTGAAGAGGCAACGGACCTCCTCCGTTCGGTATCACTGCAACTCTATTTTATTCTTCATTTTCGCACTTTATCGCGTTCCTTTATTGCTTTTCTAAAAATCATGAGAAGCAAAGATTTACCGTAATCCATGTACATGCTAACATTAGGTAGAATTCCATCATTCATCCTTGACTTTAGGTCTAACAACACACGATAACATCAGGTTTAGAAATAGGCTAATTCCCCTTTAACTCCTTTTCTGCATACGCACCTAAAACTAAAATTCTTTTCTTTCAAAATTCAAAACACTTTAAAACTATTGATGAGAATCATGCTTTTGCTTAGTACGGGAAATGATAAGCGGGTCTCTTCTCGATCTTATTGTTCTTCATCTCAAGCATAGGTGTGGTTCAATTCTCAAAGACTCCTTTCATGACTAAGTAGAAAAATGGCTAATATCTCTCTCTTGAGGTCGACTAGTCATTATCTGCAACGAAAATACAAAACAAATTCAAACCATTTTGTGCGCTCGAGCACTTTTAAAAAAAAACCCTTTTCAGGTAAGGACACGATTAATTTACTTCTGTGCCAACGCATAAGTCTCCAAAGGTCGAGCTGCGGCAGAAGGCGGAATTAACTTCGTCCACAAAAAACACAAACAAACAAAAACATATGAGCTGAACTACGGTAGCTCTGATTCCTCAAAAAGGATACGTAGGCATTGGGGTAGGGCCCAGGCGAGCACAATTTTATTTTCCCTACATTCTTCTCTCCTTTCTTTTGCATGCATTATCCCTTAGCAGTAATAAACAGTAAGCATAGATTAAACACACCCATAAGATAGATAACAAGAGTGGATACCGTAGAGTACTACGGGCGTGTGGGGTGCTAATACCTTCCCCTCGCGTAACAGACTCCCTTACCCGATCTCTCGGTCGCAAGACCGTGACTTCTCCCTCATCAGGTTTTCTCGATGTTTACCTTTCCCTACATGGGGGATAAAAGACGTTCGATGGCGACTTCATTGTTTGATGATTTTCAGCCGGCTGTTTCACGCGACACTACTTTTTAGAACAAAACATAATAGTTTTAACATAGCAACCTATGATGAAAGTCATCCAAATTCCAAATTTAGCAGGATAGATGACAAAATGTTCGATCGAGATATTTGATTTCGATATCTCATTCATACCCAAAAAATCCTTAAAGCTTAAATATATTAGAGGGTAATTTAGTATTTTGTTACTTGTAGATAAGTATTGATTAGGGCCTATGTGGCATTCTTATTTGTGTATAAATAGGTGTACTAGGTTTACATTTAATATAATCAATTCCTTCAATTATTGTGTGGCAGCTTTTACAGCATTTATTCCCTTCTCTCTTCTTCCTCAATTTCATCACCTTGCACTAACAAAATATTTGTATATTTCATTGCAAACATGACACCAGATACACCAAAATTATGCATGAAGTAAATTGTATTCATGGACGAGTCATCAAAAATAGAGGAAGTCGTGCATGGCTTATCCTTAAGAGTGATGATGGATTAATAGTAGAAGTATTCATGCACTTCGAGTTTCCAATCACCAAAAATCAAGTTGAGTATGAAGCGTGCATCACTAGCAACACCTTAGCGTATGATATGGGAGTAGGGGAAGTTAAATTATGCACGAACTTACAACATGTAGTTTTCCCATATTGAAAGACAAGCTAAACTCATTTAAGTTATATAAAATTTCCCATGTACCTCGGCTGAAACACACAGGGGTAAATGATCTATATAAAATGGAAATCAATTAAGCGAAGAGTGTCAACCATTCCTTCATTCCCAAGACACTTGACAAACTTAGCCTTATTATATTTGGTCTGATAGTTGCTATGATTGATGCTTCTAAGTGCTCTTCATGGATTACTATGATAATGGCCTATATTGATACTAGAATCTTTCCAATAGATCCCTTCGGGGTCATATTCAATCGTAGGAGGAAAGTTGGAACAAACATGCCTATGCACCCCCTTATTATAATGTATGGAGGGAATGGAAGTCAGATACGTTATTGTTGAAGTCCACAAAGGCGTATCTGAGAAAAACTAGAAGGAAAAAATCATGCTAAAAAGGCTTGCATGGTTAGATACTATTGTCCATCAATGGTTCAAGATACACTACTAAAAAAATGATATTTGAGAAAAGGACTTTACATCATCTATTAAAATATATGATGTAAAAAATAAAATAAAAAAAATTTTACATCAGGTATTTATTTGCAATGATATAAAAAATATATAAAAAATATATAAAAAATTTTTTTCGCTGACTATTACATCGGCCAAAGTAATAAACCGATGTAAAAGGTTTTATAAAAAAACACGGTGGCAGTATTGTAAATAAATAACTAGGTGACAAATTAGAAAAAAATAAAACCAGAAAACCCTTACATCGGGTCTTGCTATCCACCGATGTAAAAAACTAGGTGGCAAATTGGTAAATAAAAAACCAGAAAACCCTTACATCGGACCTTGCGTTCCACCGATGTAAAAAACCAGAAAATCCTTACACCGGTCATTGACTTCCACCGATGTAAAAAACAACCATTACATCGGTCATTGACTTCCACCGATGTAAAAAGTAGAACAGAAATAACTATTACATCGGTTATTTCAATCCACCGATGTAAAAAGTGTAATATATATTTATGAAATAAGTCCTACTAATGTTCATTTAGTTATTTTCTCTTCAAAACAGAATCCCACGAACGAGATCTGTACTCCGCCAACACCCTCTGCCAACACCGTCCATTCTCTCCACCCACCGCTCCGTCTTTGTCTCAGCTCGTCTCCGTCCGTCTACGAACTCCCTTCGTCCGTCTCCGTCCGTCTTCTTCGCCGCCCTTTCCCGCCGTTCACGAAGACGGTTCCGGTAAGAAACCCCCTCCGTCTTTTTCAAAACCCCCTCCACCGTCGAACTACGATTCCGGTAAGAAATTTTCTATTTTGTTCAACTTCATTGTATATCTATGGATTTCTAAGAGAGATATATATGCAAAAAAGTTTTTCATTGGCGAAAATATACCATGCGGCCCAGAATTGGTGAAGCTAGCTATCAACTTAACTTCTTGTTTGGTATACTTGTGTCCGAAAATAGATTCATGCAACCTCTTGTGATATTCTTATTATTTCCTTTTGTCATTGAGTTCTTTAAACCTTATGATAAAAATGACTATGTTTAGAAAGCAGCCTATGACAGGAAAAGTATGGTGTGCATCCTCTAGCTGCAGTAACAAAGGATGATGGCCTAAAAACTCTCTCTGTTCTATACAAGGTTTAACATGATTTTTTATATGGGTAATTTCATTTCCATCCCAAGGTTACTGCTATTTTCAGCTTCACCTTAAACTCACGAACCATTCTTGTGTTGTTATCATTAAGGGGACTTATTTTTAAATACTTGTTTCAGAAAGATAATTATGCTAATGTTTTTTTTGGATGATAAAAGTGATATTTGTGTGTTAATGATAGGTAGGAAAATTATCTATTTTAGTTTTTCATAAGGTGAAATATGAGAGGACATAGAGTGAAGGTATAATAATATCTTCTCAAAGCTTTGTAAATATTGTGATTGATCGAAGGGGATTGGTTAATTTATGTTTTTATAGTCTATTTTTTCTTTTAAGAAATACATCAAAGTTCACATCTTAATATTTGTTCTTTCTTTTTCAATATTGTATGTTTATTTATGAAATGATAATTTTGTTATATCGTCTCTTTCAATTTGCATATATTCTTGCAACATTCTATGTACTGTTTTTATATTCTTTTTATATTTTATATATAATTTTATGATAAATATTCACTAATTATATTATTTATTTGTCTAGACAAGACAACAACATAACTCTAATGATTGTGGATACTATATGATAAAAAATATATTGGATATTGTCTC